GTGGTGAAACTTGGGCAAAGCTTCTGGCCAGACACACGTCTGCGTGCGACAGCAATCTGGCTAAGGAGGGGTCTGAGCATGCAGCCGACTCTCTCCACATTCCCATCAGGAGGTGCAGTGTCTTTGACTGATTTGTGGCTGGCGGTTGTGGTTGCGGGTGCGACTTTCCAACTGTGCAGCATCACAATTCGTGACTGAGAACCAAACTCAATACGTTAAGCTGCATATACTCACACTCCCACTTAAGTATTTACAAGCACACACACATTCACTCCCTACCACATGAAACTTAAGTCAATTTCTATTAGGGTCATTTACAGGAATCGTCTTGTTTGAGGGTATGTCCACTTGTCCTTGCCCCCCCCCAGATAGTGTGCTGTGTGGTTTATATCTTTTTATTATCATGAACTCTGCTTCTCTGTAGCACCAAAGACCCAAATGTCTCAACTCAGCAAACTCCTTGTAATCCCACAAGTCACTGGGAGGAAATAGGCAGTATACTCATTTCATTCGCTAATTGCATCTATATTTAAAAAATTCTTTTGTTTGTTTGACCCCAAGTGATAACAAAAAATAATAAAGAGGAGTGTGAAAAACGTAGGTACTGCAAATGCTGCTCTCCGTAGTGGAGAAGGTGCTTTGGAAAGATCAGATAAAGGAGAACACTCATTGTGATTTCTCCCTGCGCAAAGCAGTGTGATTTTTCACCAAGTCTTTGAGCAAACTTTAAGTCAGTGAGGTTGAATGTGATCTATCCTGTGTGCAAAGAGACTTAAAAATGTTGCCCTACTGAAGCTGGCCACATATATTAAGATTAAGATCCAGATGGACTTTATTGATCCCAGGGGGAAATTCGGGTGCACATGTGTCCTTTAACAGTGTCCTGTGTCCTAGCTTTCCCTTCTAGTGAGAAACCCTTAAATACTCAGGATCTGTGTCACTTTGCCTCACTAGTCATTAAGAGCACTTTCAGTCCAGTTTCACGTGGACCAATGGAGCACCTGAACAAACCTGAAGATGGAAACACTTTGGTTATATCATTGTGTTAGTGTGTAAGTATCCAAATTACCTGCCATTTCTGACATTCATATCTCTTGTGTGTCCGACAGAATGAACCAGGCTGTGAGCTCCTGGAGGGAGGGTTGGAGGGACAAGTGTGGAGTTTTCAATGCATGAGGTTGTTATGTGGTGCAGAAACAAAAGTGTGGGGTTGACAGGCTTTCCCATGTTTTGTGGTCCAAAATCTCGCAGGATTTTGTTCATGACAGGTACACAAAAGCTGCATTGGTCTTCCCATGTCTTAATATTATAAATGTGTTCTAATAATCTAAGGCTTGAATTTGCTTGAAATGGAAATATTTGATGCCACATCAGTGTTTGAGCGATGCAGAGATGGTCATTGCAGGGTTGTTCACTCAGATCACTTGAGCTTTACAGCATTTTCCTTTGAGCTGATACCGTATGAGCTGATTTTGTTAATCATCCCCCTGCATTTATATCTTTCATTGGTGAATCCGTTTTCTGGGTGTTGCAACAGACAGGAGAGCCCATTGAGTCGATGGTGCCTCCCTCAGCCCGAACAGGCGGTTTACGAGCGGAAAGTGCCGGGCAGAATACACAAGGCGAGCTTGTGTGATGGCGGGGACCCTACCGTGCTCGGGGGACTATGAAGTGGCTCGCAGTGAGGAGATGTGGAAGAACAGCGACATGCGGCTTAAAAGTAATTCTGTGTGCATCAAATGTCAGACAATTTAGTGCTTCCATTCATAATACAAATAGCTGGCGGAATAAGAACAGTCCCTAGTCTTCTAAAGGGTTGAAGCCCTTTTCACAGTGTGGAATTTCAGTCTACAGCGCCGTGGAAACTGTAATCCGATTAAAAAAACTTTCATTTGAGACAAGTTCCCCATTGTATGTCTCCCGTTCCCAAAACATTGGCTACTTGGAGTTGCTCTGCATGTGTTTGGATTGCAGATTGGACCATCTTTCACCCGGAGACCGTTTTGCAGTCCTGTCATAAAAAAGCAGCCGGTCAAGTTGTAAAATAACTCTTTGTTTTGATGCATTGATATTCAGCAAGCTAGCCGCCAACTCAGCCGGCCCGTGCCACGGTTGCTCTGAGCCGTGGAGCGGAGGAAGCAAGTGGGATGGGAATGTTGCCTGCTGTGTACGGGAAGACGTAGTGAATTATTCAGGGCCTTCGTGGTATCTCAGGACACCGAAGGTGCTCTTTATTTCAGAAGATGCTGGGGGAGAGAGCAGTGTGTGTACTAAGCTTGCGTCATTTAGCAAAACAAGCATCATGGGAAGCTTGCATTGTGACATCGCCAAGTCAATGGAAAGCAGCAACTGTCTTGATTAAAATTTTCTGCAGTTATATTGGGATGAGATGAACTTGACCACAGGAACATGATGGTATTTGCCTTGGGACATCTGTAAATGCTTCTGTTTCTGGTGGAATGTCATGCTGGACGGATAAACGGATAAACACAGGGTTTTTTTTCTATTTTTCCTGCGAGGACCATGAGGGATTCTGAGTCTCTGCTCATACCTTTATTTGAGCTTCTGACCGCTGAAACGTGGAGTGGGTTTTGGCTTAGTGGAAGTGATAAAATGCAAATACTCCTTTCCCCACGGTGCAGATCCAGTATGACCAGCGGCCGAGTTTCCATATCTCGGTTCTTGGCCGTCTCGGTGGGTGGCTGAAGTAGTGAATGTAGAATGTCAAAGCCGGAGGTGTGGTTCTAAGCAAAGCCTTTCAAGGATATAAACGGATCCAGAAACAAGCAGCGACCAAGACCCAGAACTGTTAGTATTTTGCATTATTGCTTTATCTGCAGGTATAATGCAGGTGCTGAGTGAGAGGAGCTGGAAGGAGCTTGATGTGCTTTTTTGTGAAACGTCTGCTCTTCTTAAGGATGAATAACACACAAGGCTGCATAAATCTCACCGAGTTAGACCAAGAGGGACTTGGGCTAACCCTCTAACCTTTGTTAGGCTGCTTAAAATGACAGAAATGTCTGTTTTTCAAATGTCAGTTAGAAGTAGAACTGGGAAATACTTAGAAGGAGTGAATGTAGAGACCCAGGCCGGTGACGGGCAGATAACCGACTGCCTCGGTACCAAAAGCACTGTGGATACACATTGAAACATGTACATACATGAGTTAGTCCAGAACTATTTATAGTGCTTTTCAGAAGCACCGAGTTTGTTGTTTGCTGCCTCAAACATTTTAATAGGACTTGCTTTTTTCAGTTTACTGTTCTGCACCTAATTTAAATTTTCCTTTAAATCTGAGGCTTTTTTTTATTTGAATTTTCGTTTGAGAGTGGATGAGGCTGATAACCATGGAAACATTGAACAGGCAGCGAATGACCTGAATCAGGCTAATTAGGAACAAGTCAGCTACAATGTAGCATCTGAACCAGCAACCACGCTACGGGCATCGCCTAGGGAGATGCCACATGGAGCGCCCTGCGTGGTAACCTTCATGAAGAAAGAGAGGGAAACTCAAGGAAACGGTGGATGGTTTGTTTCAGGAAGTGAAGCAGCGTTTGACAGCACACAGCTCGGTTTCTGGGCCTGTGCAGTGTGACATATGAAGAAAATCACTCATCCAAATGTAACTCAGCAAATCAACAAAGTGATGTCCAAAGACATGCATTTAGGCTAATTGGTGTAGTTAAATTACCCATCGTGAACATTTCCTGTAATAAGCAGGCATTCTGTCCAGGGTGTTCCCTGCCGTCTGCCCTGTGCTTCCTGGCCTCGGCTCCAGGCTCATCTCAGTTGAATCCTGGATAAGTGCTTGGAAGATGATTGGCTAGTCTATTTTGTCTTTAATTCCCTGACCTTGTGTGTTGAGGATGTGTTCCTGTTGTGTCATCGCTGTGCTCACTATTTACTGTTGAAGACCATGATCACAACAAGGATGCAATTTGAGTTTACAGCTTCACCCAGAAGCCGTTTAGGACGTGTCAGTCCTGAGTCAGCTCCTGCCTCCATTCTGCCTCAAGGGTGACCCATCACTGGCTAAGTCATTTGTCCTAAATCACTTTTTAATGAGTGCAGAGTTTGTGAGCCAAACACCTCGTTCCCTGCTTCTACTTACCATTCCATTTGCATAATTTTTTTTCCCCCACGAGATATGATGGCATCATCGCGTCCCTGGCAGTTTCGTTCTGCCATTTCAGGCCTCCTCGGGGCGGCTCAGGAGACTCGGAAACCCTGCAAGGTGTCCGCTTTGAAGAAAGACCAAGCACAGAGCTAAATTTACTCGCTTTCGGGGGGGAAGTGGCATCTGTGCTAATTTCCTGTTGAGGTTCCTTGTGGAAATAAAAGGACGACCTTAGTGTTGCGGAGGTCTCATATCTGCCTCATCTCACCTTGACTAACACTCTGCTCCAGGGGAGTCTCTCTGCTCGCCTGATGCACGTCGGCAACGGTGAATCTGTGAAGGAGGGAGATGCAGTCACCATCTGGCAGTGTGGCACTCTTGAGGGAAAGAGGCTTCCCTTGACTGGTGTATTTACTGTTGTTAACGGGCACCAGTCAGCAGGTTTGGTCTCAGGTGGGGAGAAGAACCTCATTAGAGATTTACAAGAAGGGTCTGGCTGATTATTTCTACTGAGGCCTAATTACTGCTTGGCGCCGGACGTTATTTTTGCCTGCACAATTGTGAATGACAGCATGAATCACCACCCACTGCTATATGCAATATCAGTCTGTGAAATTATGCCGTGTTAATACACCAAATTCTTGGTAACACACTCGGAATGCATTTGATTGCTCTAGTTCTGGAAATATGCAGGGGAAAATGTCGTTAAGTCATTATTTTTCACTTTTGCAGTATGGACTGCAAAGTGACTGTGATCCTATGTCAGGTTCCTCCGGAAATGGCATTAGCACACAGCGGTGTTTGAGTTACAGTGTGGTCTTCCCACTAAAGCTAACACCCCCCTGCCTTTTGGTTTGTTTTGAATCCCCCCCCCCCCCAACAGCTTCGGACACGGAACTGGATGCTGCCGCCAAGCTGGATCAGGAGCGGGCTGACATCGTGTCCAAGTATGACCAGGTGAGGAGCGTGGCCCAGTGCTCTGGGGCCACGATATGAGTATGCCCCCCCCCATCTTTGCTGAGGGTTGCCATTATTGCAACAAACCCCCTCTCAGTACTCATCTGAAGAGCTATTTCTTAAGCACTTGCTAGACATCACCCAGCTGAGGTCACAGAACACAATGGTGCTGATTGTCAGGCATCCTACATGTTAGTGCCTGTGCTTTGTCTCTGTCATCGTAAAAGCATGTATTTCATTAGGAAAACGCTAATAGCCAGAGGTTCACAGGCAAAATAAGCGCAATACAGTGATGGATGTGGAACTGTTTTGTTTTTTACATTTACTGAGCAGACATTTTTGTCCAAAGTGATGTACAAATGAGGATCAGAGAGAAGGATCAATCAGTGTCCCTGGAGTCACCGCCGGATTTAGGTATGGGTGACATGGGCAGGCCCCCAGGGTGGCATCTTTGCCGGGGGGCACGGGGGACCCCCCCACAAAACAAACGAACACGGAAAAATCGGAATGTGACATTTCATTCATAATACTGTAATTATAGAGTTTGACAGATATATTGTTGCTTTCTTTTCTGGTTTGTGCAGAATCTTTAACAATAATGTAAATCTAGTCTGCATGCCCGAAGGTGAATTTGTTTGGGTAAGAAAAGGTCTCAGCCATCAGGTGCCCAGTTTAGAAAAAGGAGGAAAGAAAAGGAGGAGAAATGCACAGAAGATAAAGGTATGCAGATAATTAATCTCTTTATGAGAATAATATTAGGCATGTAGTGAAATAGGCCATTATAACACAGTACGTTTGTTAGCCAATAGGGTAATAGTGTAAGAACTAGATTCTCTTTCTTTATTTTTAATTTATATATATTACAGTTAATTTGCATTTGTTACTTCTTTTTGATATTTATGAATCATTTTGTATATATTTATGTATACCGTTTTAAATATCATAATTTATTAATATTGTTCCAAATGTCTTAATAAAACTGACAGATGCTGAATGGTTAGTGATTTTTTTCGTTGCCAACGGGGTGGCGGGTGGGAGACGGACAAACATTTTCTGTTGGTAGTGGGGGGGGGGGCAAGGAATGGTTTGCCCAGGTTATAACTGGCACTGCCTGGAGCAAATGGGGTTAAGGGCCCAGTGGTGACATCACTCTGCTACAGGATTTAAATCAATAACCTTCTGATTACCAGGAGTTCTAACTGCACAATCCCAAGCCGGTTCAGTTAAACAATCTGAGTTTTACACAGAGCATTTAATATGGTTGTTTTGTGAAAGGGCACATTGTGGGTTTGATTCACACCACCTGTTCTCTGTGTGCCATTCTGTACTCATGTTCATGTGGGTTTCTTGCAGGTACTCTGGTTGCCTCCCACAGTCCAAAGACAAGGGGTGCAGCCAAAATCGCATACTTGTTTGCTATGCAGTAGGGGAAATACACTATGTGAAGTGAGCAGTGTACTTGAATCCTCAGTATGGATGATATTTTGCAAAAATCCAAAGTGTGCAATCAATGGAAGCTACGCTGTCCCACAAGGCCACTGAAGAACGTTGCTTGCCCAGAAATGTATCTAAAGATGCTGAGGAAGTGCCCATCTGTGTATAAATTTAAATAAAAAAACAAATCTCAGTTATATAAGTTGACTCAAATATGTATTTTTTCATTGATAGTTTTTAACAGTTTTTAACTTTCACAAGGGTCAAGCTACATTGCTTTTAAACGTTCTTGTCAATATGCGAGATGGCAACCTCAGTATGGACATACTGCATAACGGTCGGGTAATAAGCTTCTTACGAAATTCATTGCATACTGTGGAAGTATGCAATTTTGGTCGCATTGTCAGATGGAATGGAAACCGCCTGTCTGGTTTTTCACCTGTTGTGGTATGGGGGCCAGTCGGTGATGACATCACCTGCTAACCACCCTTTTGAAAAGTCAGTTAAGCCAGCCTGTTAACAGGCAGAGGGGAAGCACAGAAGGTTAACTTCTGTGGGACTCTTAGCGTTTCTGAAGTCCTTTTGCTCCTGCAATGGCACTGAAAGGTTCCTCATCCAGCATTTGCGGTCCAACCTTGATAGTTGCTCTATTGGGTCTTATCGATTTCTTTACATTTCTTTACTGCCCACTTTATCCAGCCTTGGCTGCTATTCATTGCAGTCCATTCCCCAGGCGTAATCATTAGCAGTTCCAAATAATGTACTGTATAAACCAAAGGGTGACAAATGCAGCTTTTCCTGTGATATACAGTGATGTCGGGAGTTAATTAAGCGATTGGTTTCTTTGGCATGAAAGAGCTGAAAGAACATAAACTTGCAGGTTCCTGCTGAACTGTTTTGGTCATTAAATATCTCACAGGTATTTAACAACATCTAGGGGCTGTGGTGAGGGGAACAAAGGGACAGAGCTCAACTCAGCCGGTGAGGATTAATGATGGGGATGATTCTGTGCGATCTTGACCTCCAAACCAGCCACAATGTCTGATTAAAATCCATGTGCCAAATATTGAGACGGACATGAAATTGCTGCTGAATCCTTGCTTCTCAATATCAAAGATTTTTTTTTAACGAACTTATTCCTGAATACAGATTTTTGGGAAGAAAATCATTGGTTTTTATCTGATTTTTGGGACAATTTGTTTATGTCTAGACCAGGCCGAGATTATCAAAAGATGAGTGTGTTATTGTCTTGCCTTGTCTAGATGTCAGGATGTAGAAAAGCTTTATATATCACCTGGTACTGATCTATTTTACTACGTTTGTCTAAAAGCTGTCAGTTAGCTTCCACACTGTTTCTGTGTTTGTGTTGTTTTTAAAATATTTATATATAAAGTAGCACAGGTGGATAGTGCTGAGACGTCACATATCCAGAGTTGTTGGTTTTATTTTACTCAATTTTACAGGTTTGATTTTCTAGTATGGGGTTGGGCTGTTGCTACTCCTTTTGGCACATGGATCATTGACCTAATTTATTTTCCAGTCCAGAGCACATTCCCTAAATGCAGAAGGCAATTCATACATTCATGTTTGTTTTTTCTTGTAAGAACTGAACATGACATCTTTGGCATTTGAGTTCTGGTTCCTGGCCAGTGATCATCTCCAGTGCACTGGGAGAACCCAAAGAAGGACCTCCGGAGGCATAATGAAGTGCCTGATTTTCTTAAGTACATTATTAATTTCTCGAATGTGCAGCCTGTTTCAACAAAACCTCTGGAATAATTTGAGGTGCTCCCCAGAAGCATCCACATTATGATTCCTCGTAAACTGTTAAGTAGAGCTTATGAAAGTCCGATTCATTCTGTGACTGACTCATGCCAGTGGTGTCTGCAGCTCAAAGCTGGGGGCACCTTTATAATATGCCCAGGGAGGCTGTGACAGTGATATGTTATAAGTCCCAGGATGGCTGCCTCAGGATAGCTGCCTCAGGATGGCTGCCTCAGGATGGCTGACTCAGGATGGCTGTCCCAGGGTGGCTGTCCCAGGGTAGCTGCCTCAGGATGGCTGTCCCAGGATGGCTGCCTCAGGATAGCTGCCTCAAGATGTCTGCCTCAAGATGTCTGACTCAGGATGGCTGTCTCAGGGTAGCTGCCTCAGGATGGCTATCCCAGGATAGCTGCCTCAGGATGGCTGCCTCAGGATAGCTGCCTCAGGATGGCTGACTCAGGATGGCTGTCTCAGGGTAGCTGCCTCAGGATGGCTGTCCCAGGATAGCTGCCTCAGGATGGCTGCCTCAGGATGGCTGCCTCAGGATGGCTGACTCAGGATGGCTGCCTCAGGATGGCTGACTCAGGATGGCTGACTCAGGGTAGCTGCCTCAGGATGGCTGTCCCAGGATAGCTGCCTCAGGATAGCTGCCTCAGGATGGCTGCCTCAAGATGGTGGCAGATTTCTGAGCGCCCTGCAGTTGCTCACATGAGCAGACACATCATTTCACCTTAGCTCCAGTCGGGTGAATTGATAACACTGTGGAATTTTAAGTGATTTTCTTTTCTGTGGCCAATGACCAGTGAATCTCAGTGGCTCTGCAGCCTGGGGTTCAGGACAGGGAGTGCTATCCCAGGCCAGCCTGGTGTTCCACTCCACCCTGGTGAGAAAGTAGATCCTCGCACTTTCCTGTTTACATGGAAATATTTTACCCTTTTCTTCCACTTCATCTGCTTTTCTACTTTTGTGGACAACTTGGTCAAATAACATGCTAGAGAAAGATTTGCCGTGTAACTGTATAACAAGGATTTTCTATACATTACGTAATATGTGTGATTTGTAATGTGCTGTGTAGCTCTTGCTCCAATACCACTTACACCTTTACCTGGGCATTCGCTGGCCACACTGATTCCGAGTCGACTCCTCGACAGCACATATGTCTGTACTATGCTATCTGCCTCACTTGTACATCCCTGGACAAAGTGTTTGCTAAATAAGGAAAATGTAAATATTTCTTTTAATCATTTACAAGAATGTTGTCTGACCTTGCTGCCCTGTTTTCTATTGCTTAGAATTCTCTGTGCCTTTATCTTTGGCACTGAGAATTTCTTCACTTATGCAGTATTGCAGGTCGTGACCAGCCGAGGACCATAGCTTGCAGGCTGAGGCTTTAACCTGGATTTTAACATAAAGGCTGCGTCCAGTTTCCAAGTTCAGAACCAACAGACTGTCTAAGAACAGCTTTAGATTGCCTTTTTCCCTTTAAGATGAGGAGGAGCTTCTGAAATGCTGTCTGAAATGCTGTCTGAAATGCAGTCTGAAATACCGTTTGCCGCTGCAGGGGAAAGAGGGTGCTGTGGTGGAGCCTTGGGAGGACGCCAACTTCCACCTCTACAAGGTGATCGACAGGTTTGGCTTCCTGCAGTAAGTGTTCAGCAGGTGGACCCTGCCGCCCCCGACCTCTGTCTCTCTGCTCCCAAAGAGAAGCCTTTACAGTGTGGGTTGGTCTGTATTTCTGACAGAATTAATGCTTTAGCTAAAGCCTAGTCCATACTTCACTCGTCCATGCGCCGTTATGGTCTGCATGTAGCTGAGCACACCAATGGCGTAGGAGAGAGTGTGATTGGGGGGGGGGGGCACAACATAATGATTTAAAAACAGGTCCATTTATCAGAGAAGGAACCCACATTAAATATTAGGGGGTAGACATCCCCCAGTCCCTGCCCAGTTTCCATGCCTTTAGAGCGCGTGGTCTTTTGCATATATACTATTTTTGTCTGTGGATGGATATGATTGGCATCAGTGCATGTGTACAGCAGTGATATTCCACCACACCAGCAAATTCCACTTACTGGTACAGTTCCTTGCACATGCATAGTTGAGGTACGCTGTGCAAAAAGTCCACTAGATCCAAAATCTGTACTGTGCACAGACCGTAACAGCATGCAGACAGATGGAGTATGAACTAGGCTTAGCAGGTCAGTGATGTTGGAAAATGTGCCGCCACCTGATAAGCAACAAGAGAAGGAGGGTGACTGTATTATGCATCTGTGCTGAAGACTAATCTAATTCATCAAATGAAATGTTCCACATTTTCTGTCTGTTGGATCATTTGTTGATAGAAATGCGCCCGTCCTTGCGACGAGGTGGTTTTTGTGCATGTCTTTTGGATGTAAGGGCGTGTATTGCCCTTAAGCACCATTGTCTGCAGCTCTGCCAGTTTGGGTTGGAGCGATCCCGCTACGGCCCCTGAAGGGTGTGACTTAGCCGTAATCACCATGTGGCAATATGGGAAATAAGGTCCAGTGGCGAAGTGTCCAGAGGAGGAGAAAGCCTGGGGAAGAAGCCCAAAGTGGGGAGGCTGGATGAGACTGGAAAGGCTATTTCATGAGTGATGCTCTGCAGGGCCAGCTGCCCCCCCCCCATGATTTTCCAAACTTCCTGTGGCAGTCTGCTCGCCACACAGGAAGGACCTGATGAAAAAAAACAAAAAACTGGTTTCTTTTGGGCTGGCATTTGCGCTTCTAACTGTCCAGTCATAGAAGCTTCCAGATGGGGCTGGAAGTGCGACAAACCCACTTCTTATCCATGTTTGGCACAGGAAGCTGAAGCTGAGGAGCAAGAGCTGGTCCCCAGTGTCCTGACAACCTGGTGTGGCCACCAGACTCAAGCTGTGCAGCTAGTAATGTTTGAGCAGCTGGGTGAGGGACGAGCCAGACTCACAACAGATAGCCGGGGCACAGAAGGTTACAGATTGTAATCAGTGCTCACTGGCAGTTCTTCATCCAGAAGAGGAAATATAAGTCTTTAAGATCCAAGATAGCTAGAGACACAACCTTTTTAAAAATAAAAAGTTTGCAATTCAATCTTCATTTAGGTTAGTTGTCCGTAGATGTAGCACAAAGCTAAAGATCCGAATCTGTCTAATCGTGTTTAAGACATTTTAATATGGCTGAGAATTTATGCTTGCCCATAAATTTTAAGTTATTCACCCAATTAACTCGGCTCTTGTAGGGGAATAGGAGGAAACGGGAAGCATGGAACATTTTAATGTGTTATTTCCTGTTTGTGTAGCACTTCATGCCTGAATCAGTCCTCTGTTAGGGCCCCAGACAGAAAGTCTTTTGCCGATTTGTTGAATCGATGCTGACCTTTTGTTCACCATGCGCTCGCAGTCAGATGCTTACCTTTCCCGGATGCGAAGCTGAGGTTTCTTGCTGCAGGAAGGCTGGCGCGGCGGATCACATGATGTGGGGAAGAGTGCTTTTTTTGTTAATGGTTCCCCTTGTCAGGGACAGATGGGAATAGGGTGGGCGGGAAGACGTAAAACTCTGTGGGAAAACAAGAATACAGTAGCCAGTTAGGTGGGCAATGAAAAAGTAAAACAGACGCACACAAGCAAACATCATCTTTTTTTTGCCAAGGGATATTGGAAGTCGCATAGCAAAATAGAACATAATCATATTTTAAAAATAATGGAATTGTTGGCCAGTGGAATAAATCAGTATGGATCAATCCTGGCTAAGGCACGCACGAGCACACACACGCACACACACACACACACGCACAATCAGCCACTTCGACCTTTTGCTGACCAGTGTGGAGACTCACACTTTCCCTGAAATCCATCACACCGCCGCTCGTCATCGTTAACGAGCAGCGGCGCTCCGAGCTCTCAACGTTTTTATTTCGCGCTCTGAAAATTGCAGGCTGTCCTCAGCCCTTCCGCGGAGCTTGTGAATATTAATGCATGACTCTGACCTCCTTGCCCTTGACATGCGATTATGTAACCCCGCTGTGTTCCCTCTCTGCGAACAGCGAGACTGAGCTGCCATCCTACGACTCCGTGGAAGAAAAGGTGAATGCGCCGTGGATTCGTTTCGAGTGTCTTGGTCAACGGGAGCGTTTGCAAATTACTTTTTATTTATTCATCTCTACAAAGACAATAGATCATTTTAAGCTCTGTTCACGACACCAGGGACCTCCATTTGCCTAGGCATGGGCTAGGCATTGTTTGTTGCCGGGTTGCCGATTTTGGTCAGCTGGCTGGCGTGAGATTTTCAATTCGAGACGAGTCTGCATTTACACGCATGCAACAGTTTTATTACCTTGTAAATAGTCTGTAGGGTTTGCAAACTACCCCGATGCTTTTGATGTAGCTAATTTTAGGTTTATAATGGAATAATGTACTTTTGCCGTAAGATTGCTTGAGTGAGCATGAAAGTCTGAAAGCATGATTTTCACGCCAGATGCATGACAGTTGGCAACCCTGTTATTGGTTGGCTTCTGAGACTTCATATTAGTCCATCAGTGAACATTGACGTCGTCATAGCTACATGGGTGCATTCCATTCAATGGGTCAAATGGGAACCGTATCGCAACCTGATTTGTACCATTCCGCCGTCTAGCAAAAGCACCAGGAAGTGGAGAGGACTGCGAAATGGCTGAAGATGCTGAAGAACTGGGACAAGTACAAGAGCAGCGACAAGGTGAGAGCACGGAGGTCTGCACCCTGATGAATGCGCCTTTTACGGCCACCAGCACTTTCAGGGAGGCTGCAGCGGGGCTTCGCTGACCTCTGTTCCCAGTTCCCCTGTAAATACAGAAGTAACTTGTTCCTCACACAGAGGAACCTCTGTGCTAGCTCCCCTAATGTGTGGCTACCGTCCAACGCCTGGCCGAAGGTGAACGGGAAGCACAGAGACCCAGGTAGTGCGGTGATGCTAATGTGACGCTAACGATGCTATGAAGTTAGCCGGTGTGCCGATACCTCATGGTCACTTACACAGCGGGGAGCGTGCGAATAGATATATAACTTAATTAAGACACTTTGCTCTATATAGGTTCTGTCGGCGCCTGCCTGTTTAAAAAGAGACATCGATGAAAGATGGTTTCTTCAAAAATGGGAGTTATTGCAGGATGTAATACAGTATATGAAATCCTGGGGGAAATCTCTGTCCGCAAGCAGAGTAGGCTGTGAGCCTTGAGCATTAAACAGACTGGCTGAAATCAAATCATCTCAGTCATGAGTAGGATTGTTTTGCAACTTGGTGTGAAGGTTGGCTTTGAAACTATGTTAACAGTAACAAGGGTGCACTAATTACTGTTTCTGCTCATCCTGTTCTTACTTATCCCAGGCTCATGGTTAAACCCATTAATACAGCTGGATGTTTAGAGTTTGCCAGTTCAGGTTAAGCGTCTCGCTGAGGTGATGCTCAGAAGAGATTCTCCCTGGAATGGAATCAGAGCCTGATGATTTGCAAGAATGTGGTCTCTGGGGCCGCATCACAATATGAACTCTCAGTCGCTGTAATCGGTTACTGTGCCAACGAGCTGAGTGGAGGACAAGTGGGAAAGTAAAATAGGAGGATATAGCAACCCAGAATGCACTGCCCGTGTGCTGTACCGAGGCCCTGTGCATTCCCACCCCGGACTTACAGAGTCTTTTATTTTGGATACCAGTACACCCCCCCCCCCATAGTTTTCAATTTTAAAGGTAAGCAAACATCACCTGTGTTTCGTTCACAGCACATTTGACAGCTGAAGGACAGTCAGTATTCCATGCTCCCCTGTACTCATCCTGCCTCACCTTGAGCTCTTGGTGTCCTTGTTGCGTTCATCTTCTTAATAGGAAACATGCCTGTGGGGATGGCTGTGGTTGTGATATCTATTCCTCCCATGAGGACTGATATGTAACCATCTCCTGGATCGACGGGAGCCCCAGGGAAAGGCCACACTCTCACAGACCCCCTTCCGGTGCCTTCTGATCTTGAAACACCCCGTTCGCCCGTCTTCCCTTCAGTGAGATTACGAGCGAGGCTAGCCAATGGAGGTTGTCCGGGTGACAGATGTTGTATGTGTACAGAGTCACCTGTTGCCATGGTGACAAAAGGCTTCCACGGCCGTAATTAGGAACCCGCTGCTACCTTACAACCTGTGTTCCGAGAATGATAAAATGCTGCACTTCTGGTCATTGTTGAGTAACTCATGCTACAGTTCTACTTAGTATTCTACCTCGACATTCATCATTAGCTCAGCTTCTGCCTAGTCGACCCTATGCCTAGTCGCTTGCTTGACAGCATGTATCATTGTAAAGTGCTATTTACCTTACTTGGATGTCGCTTTGGACAAAGAGTGTCTGCTAAATGAAAGTAAGTGTAGGGCAAAGGTTTGTGGTCCTTCAGAAATGCAGCTTCATATCCCAGGCCCAGACTCTAGAGCATTAAAGAGCAAGTGGGCATGGTGTCATGACCAGTAAGGTACTACCCAGAATCCCTGAGAACAGTCCGGCTTCCACTGGCCTTTCATTTACCAGTAATGTTTTAAGACTGGCAGAAGCCAGTTTAATCAGTAAGGAAGCTGTGGTTTTCGAGTATCGATGTTTGACGAGTGACACGGGTGCCGATGATCCCGCGGCTGTCGCCCTTCTATCGTGTCCTCCGTGATCCCGCGGCTGTGTCGCCGTTCTATCGTGCCCTCCGTGATCCCGCGGCTGTGTCGCCGTTCTATCGTGCCCTC